TAATGATCCAGATGCTGGAGCAATTGCCTACGCTGCAGAGCTAGTAACTCCTTTTTGCTCAATGAGGTTTTCACCTCTGCGACGGGGGACTTTGACGGCGACGGAACAGCCAATTCATCGGACTCCTCGCTCTTTTCTATTTGTTCATCTTTTTTCTCTTTCATCCCCTTCACATCCTCATTTTCTGTGGTAGATGGCTTCAGTATTGCGGGCTCTATCATTTCTGTCGCCGCTGAACTCTTCTTCGGTGCCCTTCGACTGCGTTTTGCACCACGTTTTTTGGCTGTTGCCGAAGTACTGGCGATGGGGGAATATGAACTGTGTTCTTCCTCCTCTTCCTCTACCACTCCACCGACACGTCCCCCCACGGCCTGGTGTCGACGCTTCAACGATGCCGATGTTGACGATGACGACCCAGGAGTCGTAGAGTCTGGCGCTTTTCGGAAAAGATGGAGTTAGTATGAGCACACCCTGATTGATGATGAAGGCCCCAAGCACTATGCCAACACAGATTCCGCCAAAAAATTTGGTCGGCTCACCTTGCAAAGCAATTTTAGCTCGTTTCGCAGTGGCCTCCTTCGGCGGTCCCCTCCGCTTTCGACCCGTGGGATTGATTCCCTTAACTGGTGCAGGAGCAAAAGAAGGCTCTGGACTGGGAGGCACGGAAACACGACGTCTCTTATAACCCGTACCATCATTGATAGGTACTTGCACTGGGGAGGGAGTCTCCTTTTCTGGAGAGGGCGGAGCTCGCTTTCGAAGCGAGCGAGTGACGGTGGTGGTAGTTGTGGAGACTGTGGATGCCGATGAGGAAGCAACCGAGGGAGCAGGCGAGGCTTTGGCGGAACGAAGCGATTTTCGTGGAGTTCCGGGCTTATTGTTGTCTAAAGAGATGGTCCGATTCCTGCTTCTTTCGCTACTGTTACCACCGCGTAATATCCTCTTCTTGGAGGCATTTGAGTTGCGTGTTGACCGTGGCATTGTGTGGAACTAAGTAAAAAGATTACTAGCATTACTTCTCAGGAAAAGAGGAATTGAAAGAATGAGAGTGAATCGACCGCAGAGCATAAAATAAGCAAGAGCCATAGGAAGTCAGAATTGGTCATATCATTCAAGAACTCATTAAATTATTAAACAAAACGAAAATTATTTGCATGCAACCTGTGACTTACACAAAAAGTTCCTACATTCATCAATAAACTATGATGACACAAAGCATGAAAAAAGTCGAAAAGGAATCAACGTCTAACACTGCATCGACGAAAATTGCGCACACTCAAATAGCACTAAATCCAATGGCCTA